TGCCCGGAGATCATACGCGACCTGATCTCGTACGTTCGCATCGATTTTTGATGTGGGATGGTGCAGTCATCAACCATATGCGACTATAATCAGCTGTTCTAAACTTCCTCATAGGAAGTCACGAAAAAGCGGTGGGTTTTTCGAGAAGTTGTTGATCGTGTAATTACCAAAGAGCCTTTCGTCTTTGTGTAAGTGTTATTGAAGCGTTTGGCCTAGTAGATTGTATATCAGTATACCCTTCCAGGCTCTGAAGAAGGCGATACTGCCGAAACGTCAGCTAGCGTTGTATTGTATTGTGTTTTTATGGAAGTAAATGTATGCTGTTTAAAAACCTCGCGATTGCTGAACAAGAAAACGACACGTTGAAGACTTCGTTGGCGATTTCAGCAGAGCTCCTATACCCTTACTAAGATTGAAAAGTCGTATTGAGCGCTGCGAATACACCTTTATCAGTAGCATCCAACGCAAGATTAAGACGCCCTGTCGAACTGACACAATGGGCTTCCCAATCATGATTCAATAGCACTCGTAAAAGTAAGTCGTCTCTCATAATAATGCCGAACCTCAAATATATTAACAAAGGCTGGTCTCTAGAAACTCGGTGAAGGAGCTTTTGGTGAGGTATATCTTGGTGAACACGGTAGTGGGAAGACGAGGCAAGAAGTAGCAGTGAAAACAATGAGGAACGAAGTAAGTTGGGACGAATAATTAAGTTCAGCTCTGTTCTGGGCACAAGTTGCGCTAATTACCAATGCACTCCTTAACACTCATGTGCAGACTAAAAAATTACGCATCGATGACTTTCGTTCCATGTGTGCGATAGTTTCTTCAGATTCAGATAAATGTGAGGTTGAAAAGATGAATATGTGGATACTTGGATGGCTCGTCCTCAGTGGCTGTGCGGACCCCAGCATAATCTCTATTTTTTAGGAGTTTTGTTGGCTTAGCCATAGTGGTTCCTGGGAGTGACGAGGTTAGTCAGACCAAAGTCTGCCCCAGGTCGTCACCACCACAGGCAGTCACCTCTCTTGTGGATCAAAGAAAGATTTGCCGCCATGCGACTTTGATACCAGGACGGTGGTGGATCCTGGTAGTGGTTCACTCTTATCTAGGCTTTCTGATGGAAGCGCCAGAGTCCTTCTGAGCTTGAGAGACCCTGTTAGGAGGATGAACCACCCCGCTGTACAATTGTTGTCCGACACACAAGAACACCACCCAGTCACGATGAGGCGGTAAAGCGTTGGCAGGGATGACGTAGTAGTTAGCAGAAATAGTAAATGTTATATGGTTGAATTGGAATTGGATGCAGCGGAGATGTGGATGGGCGCATACACTTTGCGAAAGGGCAGACTCAGTAGTAATCCAGTGTTGCTATAAATTAACTACTACTTACTGGTTATTTAGTATTTTTCCTGTGAATTACTTGTGCTGCTTACTTTTAACTCAAATATAACTGAATGTCATTCAGGCGACACGTGATGCCCGTTTAAAATTTATGAAAGAAGCACGACTTATGAGAAAATATAACCATAGGCATGTGGTGAAAATACTTGGTGTCGCTGTGCATGAACACCCACTCATGCTCGTTATGGAAGTGTGTCAAAGTGAGTGTTACTCTAAGAAAAACTCAGGATAAGGCCTAAATAGATGGTTTGCCGCGGTAGTTGCATGAATAGAGCTATCAGACGCAAGTGTTTGGACAACTCCCATGGGAGACGCAAGGGACTTTATAAAAATTCACTGGTAATGTGGATAGAGCTTGCAAAATTCTGGAAAGCACAAAGATGACTTTCTTTCAATTTCTACATTATCTATTCGTGGACTTTTGATAATACATAGTCTTTAAGCTATGCCAAAGGTCTAAAGTGTGTAGACTGCCGAAAGTCGCTTCCTATTTTGCTATTGGCCAATGGACCTTGAGAGGTCATTGATTAAGCCGCAGCCAGTCACACGCGAGGAGGCGTGGTTGGTTAACCGTGCCAACATTTGTCGCTCATCATCACTCAGCCATTGCTCTCATTCCAGATGGTGCACTGGACTCTTATTTGCGAGAAAATCGAGGTAATGTCACATTGTCGGAAAAGCTTCGATTCGCTTCGGAAGCGTCTGATAGTTTGGCGTACTTGGAAAAGAAACTGTGCGTACACAGAGATATAACAGCCAGAAATTGTTTACTAGGACCAAGTATGTATGCCTTAAAGTGAAATGAAGAATTTTTTTCACTACAAGAATTGTGAAATCTTTCTTCGTATAGCGACAATCAGTTGATTTCAGGAAATTAAAACTACTGGTTTTGGCATGTCAGATAATACAGTTATAGTTCACTATGATACACTGGAAAAGGTTTGGTTTTATCTCAAGTTCTAGCAAAAAAGCCACATATTAATCTGGATATATTTTAATACTTTTGCGCCTATATATTTATTTATTTATTCATTTACTCGAAGACAAACATTGTGTCTAAATGCGTATTTGATTTAAAAAGGATAAATCTCTCGACCTTGATCAATCCCTGACGAATGCGCCATGCATTCTACTTCATTAAACACCGTTTAGAGGTGATTGAATGCATATCTGGCCTTTGCAATGACTCGCGGTGGCCTACCGATGTAGCAAGCTAGTGCTGCTCTCCTCCCAGACAAGTCGCACCAATTCGTCAACTCCGGAGGGATGGAAGGCATGGTGGGCCATGAACGCGGAGGTCGATTCCGCATATGTGCCACAGGCCGCCTCCGACCACTGCGCCATACGCGCCCATTATATTTTATTGTAGAGCATCTATCTACTACTTCGGACGGTTCACTTTTTTATATTTTAAGGAGATGATGTTTATGGGCTTATTACTACAGCACGATCTAGATTCGTCTTCAATCAGATCCAGCAGGGTTGGGACGAGATTTACATCCAGAAGTGCAGGTAACAGTGAATAAATGCAAAAGGCTTTAACAAAATCCAGTCGATAATGCTAGAGGCGCCTTCACAAAGTAACGTCTTAAGGAAATCCAAGTAAAGATTTTTAAGAACACAGGGTAAGGATTTCTCTAAGTCAGTAATGTACCAATAAAAAGCAATTGGTGTGTTGAAAATCGCAGGATTCTTCGTGAACGCAAATGGCTCAAGTGTTCAAGCTTTTTCATTTGATTTTTATAAAGGTTATTTTTCAGTTTTATCATTTTTATTTTCGATCCCCATTAACGAAGCAGTAATTAGTCAAGGTCGAGCAACTTGGTCCTTCCTTTGTAAAGGATGAAAGCGAGGAAACGAATCGAATGCAAGAAGTGCTGAGATCTGCACAGTATGTGTGACGATGGGTCACGTAAAATAAAAAAGTTAGATTATTGCTTGCTATGATGTTATAATGGCGCGTGTGGCCCAGTGGCCGGAGATGCCCTGCAATACACATGTGATCGATCCCGCGCCCCTGGTCCACCAAGCCTTCCATCCCTCCGGGGTCGGCAAATTGGCACCAGATTTGTCTGGGAGGATGGAAGCATTGGCTCCATACATCGGCAGGCCACCGCGAGTCATTATATGCTCCAGATGTCCATTAACTCACCTTCAACGATGCTTAATGAAGTCGGATGCATGGCGCATCTCTCAGGGATTGATCAACGTCGAAAGCTTTAGAGCTTTTTTTTGACCTTTCGACGAAGTTAGGTAAACAATTATGCTAACATTGGCAATGTGTTCTTCAATTTAAGGCAGTCGGTCTAAAATAAGACTATGAGAAGAGTGAGATATGCGCTGAAAAGTGGCCCATAATGGGATAAATAAACTTTTATTAGTACATTAAGTCGGTTGGCTATCATTAATTAAGAAGTTTCACAAAATTGTATTGCTTCTCTGGATGTTTACCAGCTGCGATGAGGTGAAACAGTAGAATGAAAAGGTTTTCGACCGTTGAGTTGACAATTTCTTCGACTCTGACGTACACAGTGATGTGGAAATGTCAACAAGATAAAACTATTCGATGAATTCTTCTACTACAAATCGATGAGGGTTGACACATTGTGTTTAGAACTGTTTCTAAGCAGCAGAACCTTTGAACGACTTTGAATTCTCTCCGGTTGTGGAAGTGGAATTCGTTTTAATGAAAATTAGGAAACAGTAGTTCACTCACATTTGATGACTACGGTTTAGCACAGATTGAGAGGAATTCCTACTAAATTTTTTGGATGTTTGTGCGATTTTAGCTGTTCGACAGTAGGATGTTTTGATGTTCTCGTCAGATAGGAACACGCCACATGGCCATGTCATCGCCAATTCATCGCTTCATCCACCTTCTACTAGTCACTTTTCACTTCAATCACATTCCAGTTGTTAGTTTCACTTCCTTCACATTCCTCCTATCGTCCTTCACCTAATGCTGTTTGAAAACTCGTCGTGGCATCAAGTACCAGTTTAGCGCTCTTTGAATGAGTCAGAGCAAAGATGAAACATATAAGCGAATGGTTTCATTGTAAAGAATCAAGTCCATCATCTAAATCGATAGCAACATCGACGATCTATTCACATAATCCTGTCTTCGTGGATAAAGGTTGCAAATTAGAATTAAAAAACTGGTATTCTTCATAGACAATAAAGCCATGGAGCAGAAGTGCCGGATCAATTTCAGACTAAGGTTGAGGGTGCTGACGTGTCGTCCAACCAAATTAGTCAACACAAGAAAAACGATTCTTTGTGTACTTCTCTGTGTAAGCACCCATTGAAAAGAGCTAATACATCGAACAAACTGTGTCCTCATACTATAACTTGCAGATCAGATGCAGATGAGGATCACTAAGATCCTAACAAATAATAAATAATTATGCAGCTCGCAGCAAAATTTTTCCCTAGTTGTAGTTTGAAGATTGGGCAAGATATTCCTTGTCCTCAAAATATTGTCATAGCAAGGATTTCATAGAAAGTCACCAGTCGAGTCTGAGACCATGTTGTTGTCAGAATGGTAAGGATTTCCAGCCCTAGCTTACTCCTAGTTAGTCCTACGGAGAGAAATTTAGACATTGTCTGATTGGGAGATTTTCCTGAGAGGACATACATACAACTGGACTCCAAGAAAATCTGTCGTCGACGACGAGGTGATGAATTGTGGCAAGAATTGCTTCCTACTTCAATCAACATTGAGGTGCTAGGTTTTCCCCAACATGTCGATGGCCACTTAGCAATGCATTGGTCATCAATAGTCATCCTGTCATGGTAGTTTGTGAGCGCTTATATTCTGCTTCTTGATACTTTCCGTTTCACAACGTCGTTTCAAATCAAATAGAAGCATTGTCCTGGGTATATCGAAGGTATTGAAAATTGACAGTTAAATTTTGGTTGGATTGCAGGATAAATGGAACGCCAATTCATGAACATCACAGATTTTTGGTTCAAGCTTGTTGGAAGCCCGAGATTGGAAAATCTGGACAACTTTTTAAAGTTTCCGAGCTCATTCTTCTTTTCCAACCAACCACCGTTTCACCAGGTGACTGCAACAGAGCAACGCTCTGTGTTTTCTTCATGGATGGTTCAATAAAGAAAACAGCTTACCCGAAAGTCAAGTATAAATATTGACAGCTTTCTAAATAGTTCAATTTAATTTATTTGGTTAGAGTATTTAGCCTGCACGATATTGTTATGCAATTTTTGTTTGGCTGAAGTTTCGACTTCTTCGCTTTCTTCAGATCCGATCATCCAAGTCGATGGTGGGCAGTCGTTCGTACTGAATAAGACAAAGGCGTCGAAACGTTGGCGGAATTGGGGTTATATAATAGCCTTGTGTGCGCTACACTATCTAAACAAATATATTCTTTATCCACGTCGACGCTAAGCGAAGGTTGCTTTAGTAAAGTGTTATCTATCTTCAATTTAGTTTCAGTGTTCCTTAACTTTCTTCTAAGTTTACAGACTCTCTTTATATCAACTGCTGACATTTTTATGTAACATCAGTTTCCGATCACATATTTTTTCTCATTTCTCAGATGGACTTGCAAAACTATGAATTTTTACTGGAAGTGAAGGACAGCTATCTTGTTTTTCAATGGCAATTACACCCATTTGGATGTATGAGCCGGAAACTTCACTGGATTTAAGAAAACGGTACGCGCCCCGCGCGCAATGAAGTCTTCTTTAGATAATGGATGGAGTTGGGTTAGTCTTTTCGGAGAGTGATGCTTTTTCTTCTAATCGAGGCAGCGCATTTCAAACACGATGTGTTTGAGCACTTAAGATACTGAGGCAACGAAAGGAAAGCTATCGGTGGGTAGAAGAACGAGAGAATAACCGTAATTTTAGGTGAGCATTGTTACATCGCTTACTGTTGGAGCCGCCAAATTTATCCTACATCCATCGGCGATCCATATCGTCAACTCTCCTGGTATTCCGCTTCCCATTTTGCCACACTCAACTTTTTTCGCGTCTCGTTTCTTTTTTAGAGGAAGGTCAACACCATTAACTATTATTCAAGAACATCGGTACTTGAAGTAAAAGGTCTCAAGGTTCTTAACTGTAACAAGAATTCCTTCCACGCACGTGATATTACCGATGTTGATGCAAAAATGGTTATGAAAGCAGAACAGAATTTTCTACTAGAAGAATTTGAATCAAGACGTAGTATTGAAAATGGAGATCGGTATATGAAATCCCTGTTTGCTCCTCATCTTCCTGCAAGGCAATTCGTTTTCTAATGAGTAAGGGCCAACTCTACTAGACCAGGGAATCCAGAAGCCGCTTCTGCGGAAATTGATCACATCTTTTTGGACACAGCTGCAGGTTCGTTATCGTCGGTGTCGCTCCACCGTTTTGCAGCTCATCTTCATGTGAAGATACTGGCTTTGTTTTAAAGGGAGGAATTCTAGTTATCAATCCGAAAGAAATCAATAAACACTGTACACAGCGAAGTCCATTTCCAGTAACCATTTATCGAATTATGACTAGTGTCAACATAATAGTGACAAGAAGATATTGTCGTAAGCTCTTCAAATCGAATCTGTGCTCGGTAAGCATTCCTTAGTCTGAAGAGAAGCTTTATACTATATACTCTCACTTAGAAAGAGCGATGGGCTTGTACAACTAAAAGATGGTATACATGTGAGAAGACATTATTGATACACCTGTCAAGGAAATGTTCATTAATGTCGTTTGTAGTTGCAGAATTGCAGTTCAGGCACAATTTTTACCGAAATCAAAGTGCAAAGATTCCGAAGCCATCATAAAGATAAGAATAAGGCACTCTGCGTTGATTAATCCCTGAGGGATGTGCCAAGCATTCGATTTATTAAGCAACATTTGGAGGCGATTGAATGCATACCTGGCCCTTACTACTACTCGTGGTGGCCTACCAATGTATAGACCCAGTGCCGCTTTCCTGCCAAACAAATCTGGTA